TCTTTTAAATAAGAACACTGAAAGAATTTTTTCCTTCACAAATAGGAATTAACTTAAACTTACCAATTTCGAGCATATACTTTAAAGTAGCTTATACTATATACCTGATTACCCCAAGCTGCATATGTTTTAGCAGATATATACATCAGTGAAGGCATTACCACAGTAAAATAATGCACATATCCATTCCTCCAGCATTGTCTCATGTTCTTTTGTGAGTATGACTTCCCCTCTTCGTTCCAAACTACTCTTGGATGACTTCCTGTCAGTATAAATAACTTTGCATTTTTAGGTTTTATATAAATGTAATGGTGCACTCTGCACTTTTGGAGGGGGCTCTATTCTTTCAATGAGCATAATTGTTATGAGATTGATTTTGTTGTAGATTTTGAAGCCATTTCTTCATATTTCTGAGAACTATTCCATTATATGAATACTACACAATTCATGTTTACCTCTTGATGGATATTTAAATTGTTTCAATTTTTGACTATGAACATTTTCATTTAAGTCTTTATATGGAACTGTGTTTTCATTTCTCTCTAGAGAAATATGTAGAAACAAAATATTGGATCATTTGGAAGGTGCTTTTAAAGATTATTGAATGGTCTTGCAAAATGATTGCACATTAGAGTAATGCGGGCCTCACAGGATGAGATGAAACATTCCCTCATATTCAATTTTCTGCCAGACCTTGGTTAACACTGGGGTTCCAGCCTAGCAAGGCTGTTTAAAGGTCAAGCTCTCTGCAGTCTTCTGCCCAACGTCTTGTCCTTTCAGATTTGTTGGTCAAGTAGCTCCAGAAGTGGTCCCCTGGCCCCCTTAGTCTCCCTTGGGAGCTCTCATGCCCAAATAAAAACCAGTGAAAGTTCTCTGCTGCATCCTAAGTAAAACTTCTCTGTTTCTCAGTTTGTTCATCTCTTAAAGGCTTAGTGCTAGAGGTTGCAGGGATTAAAGAACTATCTTGTGTAAAATAATTGGCACCCTATACTATTTCCATAAATGTTAGCTATTATTACCAGTTACATTTCAGTAAAATGACTTCTTGGTCCAGACATTCCAGTGAAGGAGTCTTTACCCAGATGGGCTTTCTGGGAGACCCTGGGTCCTGGCACAGCCATGCCTGCACATTGAATTCCTCTCACTCAGAGTGTAGGATCTGCCACCTGCATTCCTATTTGGCTTCACTCAGCTGCATCTGACATCAGCTTTGTTGGTCCATTCCTCCTGGCACGTAGTCTGTTGGCTGACCGAGCTGGTCCTCAAGATGGGAAGGCCCAGGGCAATGCCAGCTCACTCTGGCCCCTTAGGCTTGGAACTAAAGGCACCTATTTCAGACCTAACCTTGAGTACTGAAGTGCAAGTCCCTTGCCACATACAAATTGAACCCCCGGTCTGAATGCTAGCCAGTGATTGCCTGCAGTGGCCCAGATGCTGTTCTGAGAAAATTCAAAATAAGCTTTCATTCCAGCCTTATGGCACCTCATGCGTGGGAGTTCCTTCATCTCGATTTACAAACTAATAAAGTGAGGCTCAGAGAGGCTGGGTAACTGACTACTCTCAACTTTTGTTACTCCGAGTGCTCCTTCCTACCCACTTTAGCTGGTTTTCACTGTCCAAGTTTAAACAGCAAAGCGACTTCTAATCACTGGGGAGATTTTCCTGGAAAACTTAATGTGAAGTACATAAAAATTTGTTCAGGATTCCTTTATAAAGAGAGGAATTTACTGTACTAGCTAAACGTTGCTGCCCAGTGTATTGTTGTTGTTTTTTGGGGGGCAGGGGGTACGACTCTTAAGCTGTTCTCAGAGGGCCAGGGGCCACACACATCCTGGGCTTTACTTTCTGAAACGGACACCTCACTGCTGGGCTGGTGATGTTGTACTGCTCAGCCAACACAGGGTATTGATTGAGTTTCTCACTTGGAGGAAAGACAATCCTTAAAATAATCATCCTGTGTAGAGAATATTTTGTTTGTGTTTAAATTCTGGAACTGCATAGCTTTTGATGCTTAGGTAGCTTGGGGCGTCAAAGATATTTGATATTAAATATGAGTTGTTTACCCAAGAAGGAGTTTTGATTTTTAAGAAAATATAAAATGACTTTGAAACTATATTGAAGGTTCACAGAAAATTATAGATAATTGCAGAAAAATCACAGAGTAATGGAGAACATTATGTATAAAATTGAAGTCTTCATTTCTTTGATTTTTTGAGAGCTGACCATGACCATAGATTTGCTATTTACCACTCCATATATATTTTTACCAAATATACATGTATCCTTGAATCTTGTATTTCATGTATTTAAACTTCATGGTAATGACAGCATAATGTTCATATTATTATCATATTTCACCACATGATTAGCATGGACTTTATGCCAATTTTATGCCAATCGTTTTGCAAAAATTAGGGGCTCAACCATTATGTGCACTTTTAAAACATTCTGCCAGTATTACTTAAAAACAGGTTGCAATGATTATGCAATGGTGACAATTGTCTGCTAAAATATGGCAGATAACTTTTTACTATCCATATATTGTCTTTTAAGAATCATCCCTGTCAAAATCTCTTCAACAAATGGTACTAGGAAAACTGGATAGCTACATGCAAAACATTGAAATTGGAGCCATAACTCGCTTGATATACAGAAGCTAACTTAAAGTGAATTAAAGACCAAGATTAGGTCAGAGTGTATAACATATAATGATAAAATATAGGAAAAACTTTTCTGAATACGAACTAAAGAATACCTTAAAGATTTTATTCCTTTGGAAAAGATAACAACAGAAAAGTGGGACTACACCAAATTAGCACAGTCACTGTAGCACTGTCCTCCCATTGTTCATCGATTTGCTCGAGCAGGTACCAATAATGTCTCCAATAGTGAGATTTGTTGTTACTGTTTTTGGCATATCAAATACGCCATGGGGAGCTTGCCAGGCTCTGCTGTGCAGGCGAGATATTCTTGGTAGTTTGCTGGGCTCTCTGAGAGGGGTGGAAGAATCGAACCCGAGTTGACCACATGCAAGGCAAATGTCCTACCCGCTGTACTATTGCTCCAGCCACCAAATTAAAGATTTTTATTTTTTGTTTTGGGAGGACCACACACAGCTGTATTCAGGGCTTACTCCTGGTTTGGTGCTCAGATATTATTTCTGGCTGTGCCCGGGGAACCATATGTGGTGCTGGGGATCAAACCTAGGTAGAATATGTGTAAAGTTTTACCTGCTGTACTGTTGCTCATAACAGGAAATTAAAAACCCAGTAGCTTAAATAAAGATAGAAGTTATACAAGATGGTCTGGACTTTACATAGAAGATAAATAAAATTTTTCATAGAAGATAAATAAAATTTTATGTGGAAGTGTCCATGACAAATATTGTAGCTTAGAATACTTAGAATATGGTTTATGGTTCTGTCCTCACTATAACTGTCACCAATGGGATTTTCCACTTACCTTGGCAGCTCTAAGTGAGAATATGAGGTTCCATGCCTTTTCCAGGGACAATGATTATTGGATGTCTGAAAGAATGTGTGTGATATTAAAAGTCACCTCTTTCCCCTCTGCTGACTTTTGTGTTCCCCGCAAGGCAGAGTTCCATTGAATTAGAGCATAATTTTACCAACTTTGTAGTTCAGAAATACTTGGATTTTTAATTTTAGAACTGGAAAGTTTTTGTTAAGAAGTAAAGGTCCAATAATAGAATAATATGTTCAGTATTCTAAAAAGACATCAGACTCTTATCATCTACTACTTTCCCATCTAGCATCTTTATTGTCTTTGTAAGTTTTTTTGTGGGTTTTTTTTTTGAGGGCCACACCCAGCAGTACTGAGAGTTTATTCCTGGCTCTGTACTCAGGGATCACGCCTGGTAGTGCTCAGGAAACCACACGAGGTACTGGGAATAGAACCCTGGTATGCCACATGCTAGGCAAATGCCCTTCTAGCTTTACTATTGCTCCAGTCCCTTGCCCCTTTACTTTTTATGGTTGCCTAATTTTCCCTTCTCCCACCAACTTTCCTGATAACATTTCCTCTGACACCCTCACTGAGGCCTCTCATAGCAAACCTCTGTTTCGCCTTCTTGAGTGGTCAGTCCCGAAAAGTAACCAGAACCCTGGAATGTCCTTTGAACATGCTGTGTTGGACATGCCTACACCTTGCATGAAATGTCCTGAATTCTCTGCCTTTTCTGATCAACTGTCACTCCAAGCCTTGTTGTATAATGACAAAGGTGTCATATTGAGAAGTTTGTGTATGGCAAAATATCTTTACAGATTTAGATGCAATATTTATTACAGGTCATCAGAGTCTTACCACAGACCATTAAAAAATATGTGGCATGGGTGTGCGTTATAGACTTAGAGATGTGGACAGCTATACCCATACATATGGGGTAGGGGAAAGGAGTGAGGAAAGAAATGTATTTAGGTGCTTTGCCTGAATGGCTTTTGGAAAAAGTAGCTCCATTATTTTAATTAATTTTTTTTAATTTATATTGAACCACCATGAGATACACAGTCAAAGTTGTTCATGATTGGGTTTCAGTCATACAGTGTTCCATCACCTACCCTTTCCCAGTGTCCCATTTCCTACTAACAATGTCCTCATTTTCCCTCCTGCCCCCCCCAAACCTGTCTCTATAGCAGGCGCTTCTCTCCCCCCTCTCTCTTTCTTTCTCCCCTCACCCCTCTTCTCTCCTCCCTTCCACTTTTGGAGAATAGCCCCATTATTGACTGTTTATGTGCCCAGCATCATGCTTGATGTTTTATATACATTAGTACCTGTTGGTTCTCCAAGCACTTGAAACTGGTGACTTACCTTTATTTACAGACGAAGATCCTGAAACAGAGCTATGAGACACTGTCTTTTCCCCCCCGTGCTACACGGAAACTAGCAGACCCTCAGCCCTGAGCAGGAGCTTATGGATTCCTATTTCAGCCCTTGTAATCACATGCCCAGCCACTAAGGAAATCAACCCATTGTATCTTTAGGTCATCACCAAGTGGTCTTCTCACATCATCCTTTAGGCAGCACCAAGAGTCCTTGGCAGCTGAGAGAGAGCGACGGCGGCAGGAGAGAGAAGAACGGCTGCAGAGAATAGAACGGGAAGAAAGAAACAAGTTCAAGTAAGTGCATTCTAAACCTTCGAACATCATAAATTGAAAAATCAGAGCATGAGCTTTCGTCAGTCTCGGTGATGGTCAGTCCCGGTGCTCAGGAGTTAGAAAGTAATGTGTTTGCTTCAGATTCCGTCTCTTTCTCTTTCAGGAAGAGCAAGAATTACCTGGAATAGGGTACATCTGGTTTGTTCTGGAGTCGTTCTCTCTAACCATATGGCAGGAAGCACAGGCAGCTAAATGCAATTAAGGACCTGTGTATTCTTAGGTCTTCCGTTATCTAAAATGGTCTTGTCCAGACCTTCCTGAAGACAGTGAACTTAATTGTCTTAACTTAATTTGCTACTTCCCCCTAAAGCTAGTCCTGTTTTATTCTATTTTTATTGGATGCCTGGGGGGAAAATAAAAGAACTTTCCCACTTTCTGCTTTGCTTCTTCTCTCTGTAACAATCTGTAGTGCGTATATTTAGAAATAATCTCTCGTCCTCTGTGGAGAAAAAGGCCTGTGCTGACTACCTGCCCGTTTTCCTAAGCTCGTCTTCCTGGCCTCTGTCCAGCTCCAAGAATGTGTAGCTGGGTGTGACCCGTTCCAGGTCCAGACCTTGGTTTCCTACCCCTGCTGCATCCAGGGTCCCTTCAGCCTGCTCCCCTTCTTCCACTCCTTTCCTGGACTTTATGGAATAAAACACTTGCTGTGTCTTTCCTCATTTCCTTCTGTCTACTGTCACTCTACTTTTCCTTCCCTCGTTCTGCCCCTTCCTTTTCAGTTCCCCTTCTCTTCTTTCCCTTATTCATCTCCCTAAGCCTCTCCACTATAGCCTCTCCACTTTTTCTTCTTTTCCTTTCTCACCTCATGTCCGCTTCCATTTCTTCAGAACAGTTTCTTTGGCAAAGAATATTTCCATTAATTCCTGCAAAGAATGTCAACTGTTGTCAGTGAGAGTTCATGGGCTCAATAGCATTTTTTGAGGAAGCAGGAAAAAATATATGGAATCTTTAAATGGTCAAACTCTGGCTTTGCAGGGTTAAAGGGCTGCAGGAAGCAAACTAGCACTTTCCGTTTGTCATGATTGTGTCACTAGCAAATAATACCAGCACTATATGCGCCATTTCTCAAGAGGCACCTCCGGAAGTTGTCACTTTTGGACAGACCAATTTGTAAAACCACTGGATCAGGTTAAATGCTTCCTGATTTAGGGCTTTCTGAGGCATTTGCATATTTTACTGCCAAATAGCTGCAGAGAATATAACTGAAACACATGGAAAATTCAGAGTCTAGCCTGTGCACCTAAAGATTTTGATTGAAAACCTTTTCCAAAATGGTACAGATTCTTTCTCGTTTGTTTTTGTTTGGAGGTCACGCCCGGTGGCACTCAGGGCTTATTCCTGGCTCTGCAGTCAGCAGTCACTCCTGGCAGAGGTCAGGGAACCACATGTGGTGTGGGGATTGAACCCAGGTTGGCCGTGTGCCAAACAAGGACCCTATCTGCTATGCTATCTCTCTAGTTCCACAGTATCAGTTCTAAGAAAAATGGAGTCGGCATACTCCTTTCTGTCTCTTCCACTGCATTGCTGAATTCAGTCATAAACCATGGAGAGAATGCCTCAGGAGGGAGTGGGGGGATTGGGCAAGAAGATTAGTCTTCACATTTCCACCAAACCAGTGAATGTTTAATAGCTTCCCCACTTAAATACCATCTGGCCTATATGCAGAGGCAGGTGGAAGCATGTCCCTAATGTGTTCTGAACCATCAAAGACCTCTCTCTCTCTCTCTCTCTCATTAGCAAAAGGAAATTTTTAAGGGCCAGAGTGAAGAAATGTCCTGTGTTCTTACATTTTTATCTTCTTGCTGACCCTAACCCTCTGACTGTATTATTACTGGGATGGGGTGGTGTCCACACAAACAGCTTCAGCTCTGAGGAGGAAAAATCCTTCCTTTCTGGTCAGAATAGCCAGGAACCAGTGCCACAGGCAAATCATCATTTTCCTTTCTGTATTCTCCCGCTGCAAAACTCTAAATGCAGATAGAATTCCCTGAGTATGTAGTAGATCAAGAGAAACGAAGTCCATGATTTCTGGCTGAAGACAAGAAACGGAGATCTAAGGGCACCCAGCAATGAGAGAAAGTCACACAGAATACAAACTCCAGAGAGCACGCCTGAGCTCCTTGTTGGTTTGTGTACATGAAACTCCAACTCTAAACAGCATAGCTGAGGCTTTGCAGACAAGGCCAGCGTGGAACGCCACTTAGGCTAAGGAGCACTGGGGAGTGTGCACAAGGGCCTGATATGAATGATATGAATAGCACTAAAAATATTTAAAGACCAATTTGAGAGCCAATTTGTGTTGGAGCCATTACTGGGAGGTAGTTCGAATTTAGAGGTTGAACCTAATCTAGTTGGTTGTTTAAAAGATTGTTTCTGTTCTTTACAAAATATAAATAGGATCCAGAATCTCATTGAAAACTTTAAAATGTAGAGAATGCCATCCAAAATTACCTTATAATACAGAGTACTATTAAAATAAATGTACATTAAATACGAAAGATCTTAGCTTAGACTATTATCAAAGACTTCAAAACTGTTATTACAAACATGTATGTAAAAGGAATAATAAATAATATGCATATATGAAGCTGTGTGCTTGTAGATCTAATTATCAGAAAGAGGATCAGAGCTGACTGAACTGTCTTCAAAAACATCCTCTTGCTGTCTTGATCCTAAACCTTCCATTTGTCATTTAAGAGACCCTGGAAAATTAATTGTTCTCCAGAAAGGAATCCTGATATTTTCCACAGGTCATATACTACTGTTAATTCTCTAAAATTAATAAGCTATATTAAACATGTACTATATACATGCATGTTTATTTTATGATTTTGAGGTCCAGCGTGGAAAAGCCCTATGTCATTATTTTTTTTTAAATAAATGTTCTACTGAGAAGTGACTGACCGCACAGACTTAACTTTGATTTGGGCTGGGATATTACCAATAGGAACAGAAAAACAAGATTAACATTGGATGTAACTGGGCATCTCATGAGTGCTTACAAACAAAAGTGCAGAAAGCAAGAGTGTTCAGTGATTTCTGTGTAAAATCTGAATGTTAGGGATGCAGAGAAAGTATCCTGGCATTCGCAGCAGTGTCCAAACTGGACCACAACACAAAATGGCCAAAGCACTTGAACCTGAGTGGATGTTGTAGAATTTGACTGAATGTTAATCGCCTCTAAAAGCTATGGCCTAAAATTGCCTTGGTTTGCTTGTTGTTTAACCTTTTGAATATTTCTTTTCCCTAGCCCCCAAATATAATTTCTCTGCAGAGTAACTCTGAGTGGCTCTGAGGGAAGCCAGGAATCCTGTGTTTTCAGTTACCCCTGTGATTTTACAGAAAATCTATCATATTTAGTACCCTTAAAGCATAGCATTTGTTATTAAAAAAATAAACAACATTCAAATACAGATCCTCCATTCCTGAAACAATCATGGGTGTTCGTGTTAGTCAGTGAATACATTGGCAGTGTTATGAGCATCTAATTCTGTTACTTCTCATTTTGTTTCACATATTTCTATTAGCCGAGAGTATTTAGACAAAAGAGAAGAGCAAAGACAAGCACGAGAAGAAAGGTTGGTATACCTTTTCTTACCCATTGTGACTAATCGCTTGGGGTTTCCCTTTGAACCCACCAGGCAGGGCGGGGGACTGTGTTCATTGCACACCTGCACTTACCATACCTGTGACCTTGGCATTTGGGAGAAGAAAGTGTCTTGTTTTCCTACATTTTCCGGAATCATACAGATTTATTATTGAGTGACATCACAAGTGTGAAATAAATTTGTGTGGTCGTCCAAAAGTCTTCTCAAAAGAGCACATTAGTTTAACTTACTGAGCCTGCATCACCCTGACTAACCCTGCCATGCACTTGCAGGTCCTTTGTTCATTCATCATTCCTTCAACAAATATTTGAGCCAGGCACTCACTACCTGAGCTGCCAGAAGGGGCTGAAACGCTCACTGGATGTGTATGATCGCATACCTGTCTCCCTACTAACTCTCTAACTCTACCCCATTCCAAAACTGGGGGACACTCATGCCTGATTCCCAGTCCCTTGCACCCACCCCCACCCCCAAGCCCCATAGGAAGGAACTAGTGACTGGATGAGCTTCCTTTGAAATATTAAGCCAAAAAAAAAAAACGAGTTTGTTCATTTCCATGGAACGGTGTTTTGACTCTCTTTACAATTTACAAAGTTAGATCCTGGATTCAGTGTCCGACACAGGTAGGTAAAAATTTAAAAAACTATTTGGGGAAGTAAAGCAACAAAAGACCGATGCTTACCCCATAAACCCTGTAGTTAGGCCTTCTACCACCAGGTGGCGTTACCGCATGGCAAGATGGCAAGGTCGATTTTGCAGAGCCTGTTTGGAACCTAACAATCTCTGAACCATGCCAGTGAAAAAGAGGAATTGTGCTAATTTTTTTTTTTTTTTAGACACCATCAGCTAAATCGATTAGGACAGTCTGAGACAGGGAAGAACCCAGACAGCCTGTGTTCAATTAAAAAATTAGATGCTTAAGTCAGCCTCATAAACAAAACTATGGCATTGCTTTCATTTCAATGTTCAGTTACATTATTGCCATCCTAATAACTACTTGTGGCCAGCAGTGAACGATGCTGGTCAAGAAACAAAGAAATGTCTATTCTTTAACGAGAGGCTGGTTTTGACATTAGAAGACATGACATATACCTTTACTGAAAAAATGCTGTTGACTTTTCAGGCTTAAGCAGTCAAACTTTATCTCATTTTTAAAACATTTTTCCAGATTCTGTACTTCTTGAAAAAAAAACTCTTAATAACATGACCGTCTGGTTATGTGTACACAGGCGAGGCTTGAGAGGTCCTGGGGAGATGTTAAGATGCTATGAATTGACTCAGATTGACCTCCACATTTTCCAAACCATCAAAGAAAGACTACCTCTTTGGGGTATTATGTGCTGCTCTATTTGTCCAAAGTAGAACATTACTTATTTTTGATACTTGTGCAAAGGCATTTGTCACTCTTTTCTTGTATTCTGCCCTGGCCCTAACTCCCATGCCACTGTTTGCTCTGGCCACCTCGCTTGGTACAGAAGACAGTTTCACCATGACCCCAACATTAGACCCTTCCCTAAAGCCCAGAGGCTTGGAAAGCTGCCAGGAATTTTCCTCTGGTTTGGACCATTCACTTTTCTTTGTTACTTTGCGTCTTGAATTTCCTGGTAGAGATGGAAGCAGGAAGATACACTCTCACCTCTGTTCTGGATGCTGCTGGGGGTGCCTAGTGAGCCTGAAAAACTTCCAAGTAAAACTGGAAATGGAAGTGGAAGTGGAAGGGGAAACTCACGGAGATAAGAGGTGGAAAGAGAAGCCAATAAAGGGAAAAAGACTCACGCTAGCTCTTTGAGATAGACCCAAGAAAATTTGCTGGGTTCCAGGTCCCTTTCTTATTATAAAGACTTAGAAAAGAGCCCAGAGCTCCAATCGAGAATATTGAGACCCCTGATTCTAATGCAACAAGATGAGGATGGAATGGCCATTCAGACACAGTTGGCATTATTTTGATTTATTTTGTCATTTCATGCCATACTTTTACACTTCTTTATTGACAATGTTACAGAGTCCATTTCTGTTAGACTGCTATTTCTAATTTTTCTAAATATTATAAGAAAGACTTCTATGATTTTTTGCAGCAATATTCACAATGTTTTTAAGATGAAGTGAGAAATTATATCAAATTTGGGGACACTTTGGGGTTGAGGGCAAGGTGAGTGGACATACTTTCCATAAAGCAGGAGACGGTGGTGGGTGGGGGGGGGGGTGGTGTAGGAATACAGTACATGGAAAAGATGGGCACTGGGCTAAGGTTTTGGAAAGCATGCAGGAAAACTGATGTATAAGGCAGTTTGTGAACAGGTATGGGGACAGGATAGAACTTCAAGGAGCCAGGTCTTGGTTTAATGAAAGGTCTAAGCAGAAGGATGGCAGGGAAAAGCATCCTAAGTGAGGCTAATCTAAGTGAGTCAGGGTTTGTATAGTGCCCCATGAGAAGAGAATGGGCCTGCGTAGGAACTCAGGGCTACATAGTACCAGGCTGCCACCATCCCCCTGATGGGCACTGAGCTCCTTGCAGAGGTTGGTTGGTCTGACCCTCCCTCCGAACTGTGAGCTGGAGGGTTGGGGTGTCCTTGTTTATTATTAAATTCTCTAGCACCTACTGCAGTTCTTAGCACCTGACAGCACTTGACAAATGTTCAATAAACAATGAAAAGATGGATGAGTGTACACACAGCTCTGAACTGAGGTGGGATACATGGGAATGTTTAGAGGAAGGTGGCAGGGGTGAACCCCCTTCTCATGGCACTGTTGTCTGCAGAGAGAAAATGTAGTGCTTGGTACACAGATGGACTCACAGTGTCTGGGGGACGGACGATGGAGTCACAACAAGGGACATGTGATAGTCATTATGTGAGCTGAAAGGCTCCTCTATGCCAGGTGGCTGCCACCCTCACCGCTGACAGCACTGCTGGAGAGGACTGGGCATCGCTTCGGCAGTGCGAGGTGGAGAGTAAAGTTCTGGGTTTGAACCCCCGCCTCCAGCTAGCAAGCATCAGCCCTTGGAGCTGTCTTCCAGGCTCTGCTACTGCTTTTTAAGGACATTTTGGTGACTCTCAACAGCCAGGCCTCCCTGCAACTGCCACTTAATTTTTGTTGTTGTTGTTGTTGTAGCAAAACATATAAAACATTTAACACTTACCATTTTAACCAGAGTGCAGCCAGCATGCAGTTAAGTCCATTCATATGGTCATCTACCCGTTTCCAGAACTTTATCAGTAGCAGTGAAATTTCCTACACCTCACACAAGCGTCTAGACCTCTCCATGGCCAGCTGTATCACCTGAACATCCTCAGGACCATTCTGTTCATATCAAAGCCCTGACTCTTCCCAGGCATCATGGACCCTTGAAAAGGAGGGGCACATAGATATGACCTTGGACTCCTGTTCACCCAGACTCTGGAATGAGCAGCCCTAGCTCAATGGGCAGGACGTTTTGGCTGCCCTGGGGAGGGCTGTGGAGAGGCTACACCAGGGCTGAACCTGCAGCAATGAAGTCCACAAAGGCTCGTCCTGCTGGGATACCCTCTTCCTCCGCCAACACTACCTCCCCGAGCGCTCTGTGTTTGATTGCTGTCTCCTGCCCAGGGGGGGCCCTCTTGGGGAGCCGGCAGGTCCTGTACACTACCTCCAACTACCCTTTCCTCCTCTCTGAAGGACTCTGTGGAGACACTTGTGCTCCATCAGGGTTGCTGAGTATACCTGACTTGGTCTTTCCAAGCATTACTACTGTCTTCCTTACAATGTGTTTCTTTTTATTTTTTTTAAACTTGACCCATTATCTAATTTTATTTGTTTATTTATTTTATTGAATCACCATGAGAGTTGATTACAAACTTTCATGATTAAGTTTCAGTCATGATTAAGCACTCATCCCTCTACCAGTGCACATTTTCCACCACCAATATTCCCAGTATTCCTTCCGCCACCTCCACCCCATCTCATCCTCTGCCTCTGTGGCAGGTACATTCCTTCTTACTCTCTCTCTCTACTTTGGGGCATTGTGGCAATTGTTGTTGCAATACAGATACTAAGAGGCCACCATGTTTGGTCCTTGGTCTACTTTCAGCACGCATCTCCCATCCCGAGTGATCCCTCCAACCATCATTAACTTAGTGGTCCCTTCTCCGTCTCCACTGCCTTTTCCTCTAGCCCATGAGTCTGGCTTCCAAGCCATGGAGCGATCCTCCTGGTCCTTAGCTCTACTGTCCTTAGGTGTTAGTCTTCTATTATATCACTTTATATTCCACAAATGAGTGCAGTCCTTCTACGTCTGTCCATCTGTCTCTGACTACAATGTGTTTCTGATGGGACTTTGAGTGGGGCCCTCAGGATTGCGCATTCTTCCGAGATCTCTGCCTCTTCCACGGTCAGGTGGTTTCTCTCTACTGATCTGAATGAAGTTTACAAATACCTTTTTTTTTTTTTTGAGATTCCACATAGCTTTGGAGGGGGGATGTTGTTGGCAAGGGAAGTCCAGATTTTCTACAGCCCCTTCTTCCCCCTGTGGAGAGGAACCTAGTGTCAGAGGTAGCCCTGCAAGCAGATTCCCAGGAAATTCAGCCCACTCGGGAGAAAGTGATATTGCCCAGGAGCCTTTGCCTCCTGGGTCTCCTGGGCAGTGACTTGACCTCTGCACTTAGGGGTGAGGGGCGCTTTGTAGGTATCCTCCTGCCAGCTCAGCTGCCTGCTGAGTGCCGACAAACACATGATTCCAAGGGAAAGAACCGAGGCTGGTAATCTTCCTATTCTCAGAAATCCTATTATCTGCTTGTTGAAAACAGACATCCACAGATGCAAAGCTGCCTGGCCATGCCGGGCAGTAAATGTAAAATGCCATCCTAGTTGAATGGGCTACATATCCGACATGAGTTCAGAGGCAAGGCCCAGATCACTTCCAGCTGCGGTGGTCAGGACAGGCCCCGCTGTGGGTGATGTGCCTGTGAGCCGGGCATCCAGGGCAGACTGCAGAAGGGTGACGAGCCCCATTTACCTGCAGGATGGCTGGAGGAAGAAGTGCATGCTTTTGCAAACACACGGTATGCAAAGGTTCTCCTTCTCTCCATGTGCACTGTCTGCCTTATCTGCACAGATGGGGAGTGCTGTGTGGGGTGGGGTGGGGTGGTGAGTTGGGGGTCGGCCCACCGGGTGGGAATGAAGCTGTGTTTCCTGATGGATGTGAGTGAGGGTCTTGAATGAGCTGTTTCGAAGTTTAGTGGAGGGTAAAACAATCAGAGACCTGCTACAGCTGAATTCATAAATTTATTTCTGAACAAATAATGGTGGGTAAAATTAGCAGACATCTGGAAGAGGCACATATTTCAAAGTTATTTTGGTCTGATCTATAAAGCGCACTATGAGGAATATGATTGGTAGCTGGTCTTAATAAACAGTTAGTGGCCTCTGCCTGCCTGAAATGCAAAACAGATGTATCTTTGTTCTTTTAAACTGACTTTGATGAATAAACTATATGTGACGTCAGGTTCGAGCTATTGGATGTCTGAGTCCTACTCAGAAATATTTTAGAATATAAAAAAGTTTCCATGGTCGACACCGAGAGAACAAAGTGAATTCCAGCCACATTGCTGCTCGCATTGAAGCAGGTTCAGAAATTCAGAGAGGGCTTCGTCCAACAGTTCCTTTTGGTATTTGGGGGGCATAGTTTCTCCGTGCCCCGAGGAACCCTCCCATCTCACAGCTGTGAGCTCTGAAGACGTGTGGTTCTCAGCTGTCACCGCTGGGCTTTTTTGATGGTCATTATTGCTGCTTTGCTTATTTGTACAAATGCTTCCTGAACGCACAGAATAGGATTCTGCAGCAGGGATCCAGTGTCTGGAGACTGTGATGTTGCCATTTCCCCCAATTTGTTTGGTTATGAATGATGCGGGATTTTTAATCATTAGCATCTTGGCTGTGCTGGATGTTTTTGGCAGACTGGCCCTCCAGCCAGCCCTGCGCCGTGCTCTGTGCATCAGGAAACCAGCTCACTCTGCAGGTGTTTCATCCATAAACAAGCATCAGCCACGGGCTCCTCTTTCTTTTTACGGAAACCCTTTGGAATTTCACTTTCAGATACAAGTACTTGGAGCAGTTGGCAGCTGAGGCCCACGGGAAGGAGCTGAGGAGCCGGACTGCGAGCCAGGGCCGAGCTGACCTCTCCTTGGACCTGACCTCCCCCGCAGCCCCGGCTGCTTGCACCCCTCTGAGCCAAAGCCCTTCATCTCCTGACTCCCAGGAGGCTCCTGGGGTCTCCTCCTCCTCCTCCCCAGGAGCACTGCAGCATCCGACAGGTAAGTTGGGAGAGCAGGGTGGGAGGCAGAGTGACAACTGGTGGGTTTATTAACACCCGGCAGGCTGCTTCTGGGCACTAGGAGCTGTCCTATGTGCAAAGCAACACCGGAAGCCCCAGAGGGGGAGCCAAGACTGACCCGGGCCGCTGAGGGTGATGTCGTTGTCTTCAGAGGCTCTTCTGTGCAAACACAAACTGTTTATGAACCTGACCGGCATAAGATCATTGAAAAGGGAGAATACTGAGACTCAGACGTTCATTGACACTTTTACCCTAAACCACACTGAATTAGTATTCTCTAATTTTGCTATTATTTATTTATTCGACTGGTCCAATAAAGTCACTACTTTTCAGTGTTCTTTACCCCCTGAGAATTGTTGGTCTGGTTTAAATTAAATCAATAGAGAAGAGGGGTGGGGGGAAGCAAGGCAAAGCAAGTAGAGAAAAAAAAATGAATGTGAACCTGGTGAAAATAAGTTAATGTTGAAGAAGAAAATCACTGGAAATAGTAAAGATAACTGGCACATGGTTTGGGGTGTGGGTGTAGAGGTTTGTGTACAGACAGACGGTCTCTCGCTGTAGAAATTCCCTGTCATCTTTGCTTTATTTGGAGAAAAATAGCAATTCTGTGCGCTGCAGCCTGGGAGCATCAGCTGCTTTTCTGCTTGCTTTACAAACCGTTGGTCCAGTTTCTTTCTCATTAACAGAGAGGACGGCTCCTGGGTGCAGGGGCCTAACAATGCATGTTGACTAACCCTGCCACTAACTCTGTTTGTTGAAGCCAGTGTTATGGCTTGCAACTTCGTGTAGACTAAGCCAACCAAGGACAACAGAGACACTCGGCGTTTAACTCTCAGAGGGTTAGCTAAATCTGGTGTAAAGTTTAATTTAAACAAGGCAGGACTCCACGACCCCAGCAGAACTGGATGTAACCAAACCATCTGCTCTGTCCAATTCTCTGCTGGCTCTCGGGGCCCAGGGCTCACTCCCCAAGAGGAGGCTGGCTTTCCTTTCCACCACAGCTTTCCTTCACATGCAGTTCCTGTGCTCCCCAAGCCAGGGAAGATGGTCCCAAGCAGATGGCTCGGTCAGAGTTGAGTAATGTTGCTCTTAAAATATTGAAATTCTGAAAAGCAGAAAAACAGACTGTTCTCCAGCAGTCCCGGTGCTGTATGAGAAATATGCTCTCGCAAAGCTGTGCCTCTATACTTCATCTCGGGACCTTTCACTGAAAAAGCTGTACCTCCTACGTTTCTATAGAATGGTTGTCTAAACTATGAAATTCAGAACAGCCCCAAGCCGAGAGGCAATTGCCAGCATCTATAAATATTTTTCCTTCTTGCATTTTTTTAAAATCTACTTGATGCTTGCTTATGGCAAAAGGACAATTTGTCAAGTTCCTGTTGTTGTTGTTGTTGTTGTAGCCAGTCAAGCTTGAGGCCTTTCTCTCCTCTTTCCAAATAAAAGCAGAGTGTTGGAAACTTTAATCAGAACACAGCAGATGATTATTTTGGATATATATAAAGTGCACTTGGGAAAAAGAAGTGATTTCAGTATCTTTCAGAAAGACAAATAACAAATGTTGTTTTCTTTGCTGAGAAGAGAAGAATAGAGGCAATGTTTGAAATGCAAGTGATAGGCTGTATGTGAAAAATGAACAGTGGCCTTGAATTTAGACATAATTACAAATTAATAAAATTGCATGGTATGTCTGCTTTCCCTAAAAAGAAAAAAGTCAAGATCAATGTCTCTCGGAATCTAGAAAATGTGTCTATTGCATGTTAAGCAACTATCATCCACATCAGTTGGAACCAGCCAAGTATTCTAAACCAAGTATTGTCATCATAGATAACTGAATTATGCACTTGGAAATTATAAGCAAATAAGAAGCAATGCAGCAAGTGGGTGGGCTCCAAAGAACAGCTGAAACTTCCTTCTGAGTTGAGGGCCTTGGCTCCAATGATGGAATGCCAGCCAGTATGACAGAAAGGTTTAGTCTTGGTTGGTGTGCTTCTCTTCTTTGGAAACTTTCTGCTAGCTTCCAAGTCATAGATCGGGTTTTTAAAGCAGGCCCCATTGTCAAATGTTCAAAGCATCTTTTTGCTTATCCCTAACATTTGCAGTATTCCAACAGCTGGAGGAAGAATAAACCCTATAATTGCCCATGCAGATGTTCTGTGCAGAGCACCTGGCGCTGCATGGTCCACACGTGCCAGCCTAGACTCACATTTTTATTCTCCTCAGGGAAGGAAAGGATAATAATCCTTTTTTGATTCCGTGTGCCCAGCCCCCGCCCCCGCCCCCGCCCCCCAAATGCAGCTATTTAATCTCTTGTCATGAAGTTAAGGATAATGCTATTCTCATTTACAGTGATTCACCGAGAGGAGAGACTGGCTTCAGATCTTATTGGCACACCCTGAGAGTAGAACTCTGGGTTTTCTTTTTTTTTTCTTTTCTTTTCTTTTTTCTTTTTGAGTCACACCCGGTGATGCTCAGGGGTTACTCCTGGCTTTGCACTCAGGAATCACTCCTGGTAGTGCTCGGCGGACCATATAGGATGCTGGGAATCGAACCCGGGTCGGCTGCGTACAAGGCAAACGTCCTACCCGCTGTGCTATTACTCCAGCTCCAGAACTCTGTGTTTTGATCCTCACCCATGACACCTCTCAGGGCGTCATGGTACCAGTTTTTGTTGACTCATAGTATTGCCACTCCTTTACTTATCTTCTCCTCAGCATCTATAAAAATTGAGGCTGATATTCAGAGCTACATGTTTACCTCCCAAATAGATGAATATTTGGTATTGCCAGTAGACCACACCTGCTGGTGCTCAGGGGGTGATTCCTGGCTTTGGGTGACTGTTGGAAGTGCTAGGGGGACCCTAGGTAGTACTGGGGATTCTATCTAGGGTTGGTGAGACACAAGACATGCACCTTAACTCCAGTACTTGATCTCTCTGACCCCAACTCTTTGATATTTACTTTTATATGGTCTGGAGTGATAACATAGCGGGTAGGGCATTTGCCTTGCATGCAGCTGACCCAGGTTCGATTCCTCTGTCCCTCTTGGAGAGCCCAGCAAGCTACCAAGAGTTTCCCACCCACACAGCAGAGCCTGGCAAGCTCCCTGTGGTGTATTCGATATGCCAAAAACAGTAACAACAAGTCTCACAATGGAGATGTTACTGGTGCCCGCTTGAGCAAATTGATGAACAATGGGAGGTCAGTGCTACAGTACTACTTTTATATACCTTAGGATTATAGACCATTTACTTACATTCTGGGGAACTTTGAATAGCAGCATATATGAAAACATTAAACATGTCTTTACCTCTCCTTTCTTTTACAAAATTTATCTTGAAAGAAGGAAGGGATAATGATTAAAAAAACTAATATACACACAAGCTGTCCCCCACTCCCCACCTCCTACACACACACGCCAGCAATAGCATCCTAAGCCATCTACTGAGATCTTTCAGCCCAAACTTTTCCCAACTAAATCTGCTATAACTTTTGTATAAAATACGCCACTGCCCCCAACACCAAGTCAGTCTGTGCTTGAATTATTTTCCATCTGGCCCTTTTGTGGCTCATAGCAGATGTTTGTCCCAATACAGCCTAGACTTAGTGGTGATGGTCTGAATATTTTTCCTCTCTGCGAAGCTCAGGCCCACATGAGCAATAGCCATGTACATGTGTGCTCATTTGCACGGGTTGGTGATTAGTGGAGACAGTCAGCTCAAGTGTAGAACAGGGAATGCCCTCTCTCATCATTTATGTGTTTCATTAGATTTTGCTTATTTTTTACAGAGCCCTGCTGTGTTATACATCAGAATATCTACCGAATAAACTTATTTTCTATTATTTTAGCGTGACTTTGTAAACAAATTTATAATTTTCACTCATCAGAGGAAAGGGGACTGTGTTTTATTGAGATAAAATTCTTTGAGGTGATTATTCTTGAGAAAGGAATGTACAATAATCTACATCTATACACACAGCCTCAATTTTTATAGATGCTGAGGAGAAGATAAGTAAAGGAGTGGCAATACTGTGAGTCCACAAAAACTGGTACCATGATGCCCTGAGAGGTGTTGCGTGTGAGGATCAAAACCCGGAGTTCTAGGCTGGAGCTATAGCACAGCGGGTAGGGCGTTTGCCTTGCCTTGAATCTACATCTCTCTATTGCTGTTGGGAAACAGCAATAGCACCTATTTCCCAATTGATGCAAGGTCTAAGTTACCTATATCATGGAAATAAAGTGAGAAACCACTGCTTTGAAAATTAGATGGTTGGGACTTGGAGCAGCAGTACAGCAGGTAAGGCACTTGCTTTGCATGTGGCCAACCCCTGTTAGAACTTCAGCATCCCATATGGTCCCCTGAGCATTATCAGGAGCAGTCCCTGAGCACCACCAAGTGTGGCCCAAAAACAAAAAAAGAAAAGAAAATTAGATGGTAGTTGTAATCCTTGTAGGGTGCTCAGAACTGAACTTCATTTCCTGTACATGTTAGAGACACATTTCTTCTTTGCTCCCTGGCTCACACAATTGAGTTTCTCCTGAGTCTAGGACATTTCCAGTAGAAGAAATCTATTAACAAGAATTTACAAGTGTCTTTCACTACTAATGCAGCCGTGAAAACTTACAGATTGCTAGGTCCTCTTTGATTTTTAGCTCAGTACTTACCATACTGCATAGAAACAACACTTTAGAGATGCATCTTTTATAGAGATAACACCCATGATGCTTGGACAAGTGGTGGAGGCCTAAACGAGCTACTAGGGTGACACAGGGTAGGGATTGGGGACTGGATGACAGAGATGATGAATTTAACTCATGACCTAGAACATATTGGGCCATGTACTTCAGAGACACATTTAAATTTTTACCATGCTGTGTTAATTTTTGTGGCAGGAAAAATATATTTAGCAGCTATTTTTTTTAACCTAGTAGGATTCCTAGTTTTTTCCAAGTCTCCTATTGTTTGGCCTCAGAGAAGTC